GAAAATCTGGGGCTGTTAGTTGGAGGGGTTTTTCTATAGGTTTTGTGCATATATTTATATTTGTATTGGTATGTAGATTTAGATTTTTTACTCTTATGGGGAAGAAGAAAACTCAGCTGAAACTAACATGTCCCATTTCCTCAGGGTCAGAAAATGTTCTGTCCTCAAAATAACCGTGAGGGGGAACTACTTCAACCCAAATCATGACAGTTTAGGAAAGCTTTGCATGTAGAAGTCAAATGTGGCAGCGGCGAGAAGGGGGGGCAGAAAGTGACTCTTCCCTCTACAAAGATTCAGGAACATATTTCTCTGAATATTGTTGCACAGGCTTTGGTGTCCTGAAAGGTGAATGGGTAAGAAAAATTTGCAGAATGTGAGCAGAGCTTTAAATAGAGCTTCCATCATCCAGGTAATGAGGACACGTCTTTATATAAGCCCTGTTATGCCCTGGCTGGTGTAGCTCAGTGGATTGAGCACAGGCCTGCGAACCAAAAAACTGTGGTTCGATTCCCAGTCAGGGCACATGCCTGGGTTGCAGGCCAGTTCCCGGCAAGGGACGCACGAGAGGCAACACTGATATCTCTCTCCTTCTCTCCTTCCCGTCCCCTCTAAATATAAATAAATAAAATCTTTAAAAAATATAAAAAATAAACCCTGTTACAATCGAAAAACATGAGCGTGCACAAAACTAAGGGTGATATAAATGTTAATACCCGCGTATCGTGATTCAGTACTTTCTGTTAGTTCTGCTTTTTCTCCCATGTTTCGGATCTCACCTTTTGTTGTATGCCACGAATACAAGTTTGTTTCACTTTTTTCGTGCCTGTTCTCCCATAAATAACCCTCTATTGGTAGCCATAGATTACTCGGGAAGAACTAGATAATGGGAACAAAAAGGGTAGGTGAGGAGCCTTATTCTTCACTCTGAACTTGAACACCATCTGTCTAAGTGTATTCACGGCCTGGGAAGCACCTGCCTCGCCTTCCCAGGGGCCAGTCTGGTTCGGGAGCCGCCGCCGGCGGGGGCCGGGGATGGACCTCCAACACTCTTTCCCGAGCAAGGCAGGCGGCGAGAGAAAGGTCATTGTTACTAGACCATGCGCGACCGCCTACGGCTGGCCGCTGACTCAGAGGCTCCTTCTTCCCGTGGGAACAGAATTCGGATGTGCGTTTGCTAGGAAAGTCAAAGGCACACGATCGATGTTCCCCATGCCTTTAGACTGCGTGCTCACTTACACTGCAGCTCTCCGTGCAGACAGCGGGTGGAGCTGGGCGTCAGGGAGGAAGCACCTTGCCCCGGCCAGGTGTCTGTGGTCCTCTCCCAGATCTTCACACGTCCCCCTCGCAGCCTGGCAACTGGTGGGAGCAGAGGCACAGTGACGCTGTCAGCAGAGGGACACATGAGCACCCAGGCACCCTCGTGCGTGGTCTTGCGGCCTCCTGTGTGCCAAGCTGCCGCTCGGGGTCCTCGGCCTCGGGGCGCAGTGCCCCCGATCTCGCTGTGGAAGGCAGCTACACAGGCTGGTTTCACCCTCCGTCAGAGCACCCGCTCTCAGCGGCCCGGCAGCCCCCCATTTGTTCTCACACACCTGTTCTCAGCGGAGGTGACTGGTCCTTCCTCCTGGGATGGAAACCAAGCACCGCCCTGTTGTTACTGCCCGTGGTCCTCGCCTGTAGAGATCTGGCTTCCCGCACGGAGCCCCCTCTCAGCCTGGCCCCACGGGCTCCAGGCTGCAGTGCGCCGACTCGCTCCAGGAGCCCCCTCAGGAGACGGACGCCCCTGGAGTTTTCTTCTTCCCTGCACCCACTGCATGTTCTCCACCTGCTGACACGCATGCCTCATGCTTCTTCCCGCATCCCCCTGCGGTCCCCAGCCAAAAACAACACTGACCTCCACGTTGGACTTCCACGCCACTGTCCCCTCTCCATCCGTTTAGCATCCAATATCCTGGGGGCGGGGCGGAAATCCTCTGTATACGATGCGCCAATATTGTCTGTATAATCGGCCACTTAGGTCCCTGCCACAGTAATTTCTTATTCCGATCAGTACGGAAACCACCGTCAAAGCCGCATTTCTCTACACTGAATGGATCCCTGGGGTATGTTGTTCAAACGCTGTATTTGAAAATATAACAGAACGATACTTTTATTATTTATGTTTTTTAAGATGTCATTTATTTTTAGAGAGAGGGGAGGGAGAGAAAAACAGAGGGAGAGAAACATCCGTGTGTGGTTGCCTCTCATGCGCCCCCTACAGGGGACCTGGTCCACAACCCAGGCATGTGCCCCGACTGGGAATCAAACCGGCAACCCTTTAGTCTGCAGGCCAGCACTCTATCCACGGAGCCACACCAGCCAGGGCAGAACACCATTTTCAAAAACAAAGTGCCTTTTGATGGAACGAAACTGAAAAAAGGGCGGGTTTGTTGTAGAAAAGGAGAGATGGGGTCGTGGGCATGCGGACGCCCGCCTCTCTGATGAGCCCTCAGAACGTGCAAAACTACATTCGCAACAACGATCACAGAACTTTTTCAGCATTACTCAGGACTGGGCACTACCTGTGAGAGAAGCTTAGGAAGCCGCCCCCAGAGGACAGGCAGGGACCAAGGATCTCTCGCCACGATACCATCTGCCCACAGACCAGCAGAAGCCCCGGGAGGTGCATTTCCGAACAACGCCGTCATTATCATGTCTGCGTGCAGCTGCCCGGGTGTTCCTGACGTCCACGACGTTGAACGTCACCGTCACAGTGCCAACAGTACAATTCCCCAGCAAAGGGCACTAGGGAGTCTTGCGGAAATGGAGCCACGTTTGACCTCCTTTGGAAGGTGCCCGGGAGATCACCGTGGTGTTGGTGGTGCGATACTTCCCCCCAGGCCCCAGCCGTGACTCTGCAGCCCGACAGTTCTGTTTATTTTCGTAACATCATCCCAGCGGCATTTGTTAGCCTTGCTGGCTTGTTCACTAACGTGTCACTGCCACGGTCATAGTCCCGGAGTCTGGGACCTCTGCTGATGGCACAGTGCTTGCATCTGAAGCGTCGTAACGCACTTCCTGTCTCACGCTGAACTCTCGGTAAGCACTGATGTGGTGGATTGGAGGGGAATACGGGGAGCAGGGACCCAGTGCCCCGATGCACGGAGACACTCTGCAAATCGCGGGCAGTTTGAAGTGGACAGGAATGCAATCTTCCTGGCGAGCGTCGCCCCTGAGAACTACTAAGACGACCCGTCACTGCCTTGCCTGTATGCCAATGTGGTAAATCCGGACACAGCTGGAATACCACAAGACCTTTGCACAATGCCTTTAACGGCATTGCCCACAGCACTGCTTCTGGCCCAATACACACTTGTTTCTAATGACACGGTGGTTGTGTGTTTCTGGCCGGGAGAGTGCAGGCACTGCAAGGCAGCAGAGACACACTCTGTGGCGTGTGTGTGGGTGGGTGTCTCACAGAACAAGGGCGATGGCAGGCAGACGGCCAGGGGCAGACAGCACCGTCCCTGTGGCCTCTCCCTCCTTTGGGAGTAGGACAGGCAGCTGCCCTCGTACTTCCTGGTCCTTTTCAGTGGCTCGTGGGCGCAGAGTTGTCTCTCATCCCTGCTGCTCACGTGAGCGGCACGAGAACAGGGACCTCCCGCTGTGTCCCAGAGCATCTTGGACGGCTCAAGGGCCGTCGTCACAGGGAGGGTGTCTCCCACGGCCTGCACTTTCTAGCATGGCACGGGGCACTGTTCCGAACCTCAGAAGCCGCTCAGCTGACAGATCTCAGCCTTCACCCAGGCACCCTCCGAAGGGCCACCTGCTTGCCTGTAGCCGTGAAGTGACACATCAGGTGAGGGCCAATTATTGCCCTTGGGGGGGCGGGCACGGTGCCGTCTTCTAAAGCGGGCAGGATGCTGATTGGTCCTTGACTGGGTCCGCCCACAGAAGTGAGTCGCGATATATGCCATTTAAACAGCGTCTGCAGACAGGATGATGCTGCGCAGCAGGACCACGGCTAAGACACACACGCCTTGACCATATTCACCGTTTTAAGAGAACTGCCTGTTTTGAGATTAAGGCAGACATGCAATTACGAATTGTGCAGGGCCGCATCGTCACAGATGCTCTCTGCGAGGCAGAGAGAACTGAGTGACATGTTTGCCTTTCTCATGTCAGTCAAGAGCAGGGGAAATTACCCTGAGGGGACATATGAGAGGAATACTTAAGTACGTGTATTACCATGGAGTGAGCAAAGCTTTGCGTTCTGTCCCGGAGGCAACGTGAAGAGCAGAACTCAGCAATTCCACGGCAAAGGCAGCCGAGTAAACGGCACTCTGCAGATAATCATATTAACATCAGCTGGTATTGCCGCCGCTGCTGCCCTGATCGGTAACTGTTGCTTCTGCTCGGGCCTTGAGTTAGGTGGATAATGACCTCAACTGTCAGTTTTATTTCACTACGGTGTAGACACACCTTAGGCAAGAACCACCTCAAAGCCCCAAACTTCCCCAGAGGACTGGTTCCTCAACCATAAAAATAAGGGATCTGAGTCCTCTGTGTGATTACTATTTATAAATGGAACAGGGAAGTCATTACAGGCATGTTTTTTTTATATATTTTTAAAAATATTTTATTATTTATTTATCTTTAGAGGGGAAGGGGGGAAGGAGAGAGGGAGAGAAACATAAATGTATGGTTGCCTTTCGTGCGTCCCCTGCTGGGAACTGGCCTGCAGGGAACCGGCCTGCAACCAAGGCATGTGCCCCGACTGGGAATTGAACCGCGATTGTGTGGTTCGCAGGCCCGCGCTCAATCCACTGAGCCACACCAGCCAGGGCACAGGCATGTTTTAAAGAGCAACTTATTGGGGTAGCTCTGGCTCATAGCACCATGTAAGGTTCCAGTTCTGTAACATCTCCCGTCTGTATTACATTGTATCCTCTGCCTCAGCCTGCGTCAGCAGGAAAGAGTCAGAAAGTCAGAAGCACCGACAGCCCACCCACCACTTCAAGTGCTGACGTGTGTCTGGAATCACCGTGCACAGCCCAGAGCCGGACAGCTGTGCCTCTGCAAGCTTCGGACTCACCCCTGCCGTGCCCAGCACTTCGAACCTCGCATGCAACAGTCTTGGTGTTTGAATACTGCGTGCTCTTTCATGACGTTACTTTAAAACCAATCTATGTTCTCTAATTGTCAAGGGAAGCCGTGGGGTGCCATAGTTACAAGGTAAAGAGCGGTGTTGAAAAAAAAAAGAGGGAAAAATGACAAATGCAATTTTTGATGACTGATTCAGTGATGTCAGGAAATGGCCCCAACAGGGCACTGGGAACTGAGCAAGCTGTGGGCACGGTAAGGACCCCGCCAACCTCCCAGGATCTGGGGGAGGAAGCCTCTTCCGCCCTTGCACACACGCCTCAGAGGGCTGGTCACCGTGAGACAGCGCAGCCTGCTGGGACTGCCTGCCTGCCTGGCATCAGTCCACGAGTGTGGGGACACGCCCGAGGTCATAGCAGCTCGGACTCGCCTCCGGCGAGGACTGGGTACAGACCTGCAGAACACGGCGTCTGGAGGGGAGTGCACAGCAGGACACGGCCCCATTTCCCCACGCGAGAAGCCTGCGGCCCGAGAAACACACCCGTCCATGGCCCTACAAGGTCCTTCGAGGAAGCCACCAGCCACCAACGAGCTGAAAGGCACATGCTGGAGGGACCGACTGCTTTTAAGAGGCTCAAGGCATGAAGATGTGTCTTTGCTCGGGGAGGCGGCCACACAGAATGTATTAACCATCATACAAGCCAAACATTCACACGCAATGACCAGAGGCGACCTACGGAGGGAGTAAGCAGACTTGACAATGAAGAGAGAATCCCTCAAGTTCAGGGCAAGCAGTGAAACAACACAGGAGGTTGGGTTTTTCTTTTTCTTTCTTTTTTCTGAAAAATTTTAAAAAGGTTTTACTTCTTTATTTTTACAGAGAGGGGAAGGGAAGGAAAAAGAGAGGGAGAGAAACATCCATGTGTGGTGGCCCCTTACGTGCCCCCCACTGGGAACCTGGCCTGCAACTCAGGCATGTGCCCTGACTGGGAATCGAACCCTTTGGTTCACAGTCCAACACTCAGTCCACTGAGCCACCCCAGCCAGGGTACACCACAGGACGTTTTAACCGCCTTGCAAGAGTGGGAAAAGTACAAATGCCGAGCAACTCCGCTGCTCTGCGGTGAGTCCGTGCGTAACTCCTGAGGAAGGAGGCAGTAGCTGGTGTTTCCGTGTTCACGCTTGTGTGTTTGGGGCTGTGGGGAACCAGAAAGCTGATGTAAGGAATGGGTTCCACTGGGAAAACAGACAAATGCATAAGAACCAAGGCCATGCAATTAAAAACGGGTTTGCTTCTAACTGCTTCTTCGTAACGTACACTTTGTACGTGGCAAAAGCCAGATACAAACAGGATTTAAATTCGAGCCAGGGCACGTGAGTCAGTGCAAACCCCACACAGGACTCCTCCGAGTGACAGGCCAGCGACTCAGGTCATGGAAGAGCTGGCATCCGTGTGGCCTGGTGCCACCAGAAGACACGAGGCAGCGTGCTGGGTTCAGTCCTTGTTTCTGGGACGCCCTGGTGGGCGTGGCTGTCCGTGCTTTGCAGCAGCTGACCTGGTCACGTTTCGACGTCTGAGCTGTCCCCCAGTGGCATGGCCCCTTTCTCATGAAACGCCTCTTCCTTCCTTGCACCGGGTGGAAATGGAAGCAGTAAAAGTAATGACAAGCATGACAGAAACGAACAGACTGTGCAGACATCTGACACGGTGAAACGGCTGGGCGGCCAACCCCACGCACGCCGGCTGGGGTGGGTTTTGCAGCGCGGACGTTCAGGCGCGGTCTTCGAACCAGCTCTCCCTGCGCAGAAACTGGACGGCGTCGGCAAAGCCACGCTGGTGCAGGCCCTTCAGCTTCCCCTGGCTGGGCGGGAACAGGGCCTGCTGCAGCCTCACCAAGTTGGCCAGGGACAGCTAGGGCAGAAAGACAGGTGGGGCTGTCGGGCAGGGCAGGTCGGTCCACGCACGTGTTTTCTGTGGCCTGAGCTCTCCCACCATAGGTGTGGCCAGGGATAAAGAAAGCGTCAGGAGGAAAACAGGAACCCTGAACCGTTAACGCCGCCAATAGACTAGCTGATGCCCCCCATTTCTCAGCCTTGGTACGATCCATGTTCCGGGCCTGAGGCCTCTTTGTGCAGGGGTCTCTCCTGGGCATTGTGGGGTGCTGAGTGGCACCCCGGGTCTCCCCTGCCAGGTGCCATGAGCACATCCCCACTGTGACTGACGGCCACACCTGTCTGCAGACTCTGACAAATGGCTCCTGCTTACAACAGCGCCCCCTGTCGGCAGCTGGATTAAGGGAATGAACATTTCCACGTAAATTACTCAGTGGAGATCCCAAGAGTCTCTCCCATAGTTTTATATACTTAATGACTGCCAACGTGTAAAGAAAGAAACCATCTAACTTCACGTTTCCCTGAAATCCTGCCAAGTGTATTGACGTGAAAAGAAGCGAAGAAGGAGAAACCACTCCCCACATAGGTGGTTGTTAAACTGTAAAGGAATTGCACACTCACAGTCTGCAAGCACTACGTGTATGAACCACATTGTCAAGTATTAAAAGATGCATTACTGACGAGATGTAACTTGTACATACAATGATCAGTGGGCTTGCAAAACCGTGCAGGCCTGGGGAGAAGTTTAGGTACGTAAAACTCTTCACACGTCCTTGAATGTGAGCACTCACCATGACGTTCTGATTGCTGATGTTAACATAGAGGTCCAGCCGCCCTTTGTCCCGCGGGGAGATGTCCAGCCGCCCGCTGAAGGGCGAGATGGTCACGGTGCGGCCCAGGGGCAGGATGGGGAGACTGTTGGTGAGACCGCCGTCCACCCACTTCTGCGGAGAGAAAGAGCCCCGTCAGCACCGGGAAGGGCTCTCTGCCTCTTCTACGACCCCTGCCTTGGACATGCTCTTAAATCACCATTGATCGGGACTCATCCAGTATCAGTTTTGTTTTGAAAGCAAAAGGTATGTGGGTACCCATACCTTGTACCCACACAGTAAGAACTTGACAGAACCTAACCTAGCCAATTGTTCAGAGGCTTTAACTCGAATAGGTCCAATAAGACGGAGGTCAGTTGTTACTGAGGACGGTGCATGCATCAAAGCCATGTGTCATTCGTTTGGGACGCATTCTTTAATCCAAGGGCAGAGTCAAGTTCACGTCGGACACTGAACCACCCACCCACCACCACGGCACACCTCCTTGCCACTGTGAGAACTGGACAGCAGCTTTTTCTGTGGCGAACTGAAATGGAGCCACCAGAAATCCTGCCCTTTCCACAGTGACTCCTGGGGACAGGAGGGTGCAGGTCTAGATGGATGGGAAGTGCTCCTTAAGAAACAGGTGCTGCTCAGAAGACCGTCTGTGCTTTCAGACTGTGCCCGTAGGAGACAGGTCGACAGAGCAGGTGAGAGAAGCTTGCAGGGGCTTCTGCAGCACTGCATGCTGGGGAAGGACGGCCAAGGAAGCATCACACTCCTTATGCTGTGTGTTCCAGGTGACAGACTCCGGATCCACCCGTGAGCTGACGTATTAACACACGGAGCTCTCACAGTCGGTGAGCACACCCACAGAACTCCAGGTCAAGGTCCCCTAGTTATCTCTCTCATGGGAAAGATCCTTCCGCTGCTATGCCAGACAAACAAACAAATGAAAAACAGGCTCCGGTAATGGTTGAAAACAAATCCCCAAGAAACCTTTGCTGAGCAGACTGTGTGCCGAGTTTCACGTGAACATTGAAAATGTGACATGAGAGAGGAAAGCCGTGCTACTTGGCCCAAAGGTGCAGCGAGGAGGCAGAAATGGGTTAGGATACAATATTCCGAGCTCAAAACAATCCATGCCCTTTTCGTAAGGCCTCTCTCTCTCTCTCTCTCTCTCTCTCTCTCTCTCTCTCTCTCTCGTTTAAATGTCTTTCTTCCTTGCTTTTATTTCTAAGGCTGGGGACTGAATGGCCAGACTACGTGGTTTACATGGCCTTGGCCAGCCACCAACTCTCTCACAGGAAATAAATAGTGGAGACGTGTTGAACAAAAGGTTTTGAGGGTGCTGCCTTTCGGAGGAGAAGATCTGGGTAGATGAGCTGAAAATGAACCTGACCTGGATAATTTGGCTACTGCCAGTGTTTCTAAAAGAACACGATACCCATTATTATATTGTTATGTGTGTTATACACACAGTGCTATCTTCGCGTTTGTGTGTATGTAACACACCCATGTGTGCACGGTTCTGTGGGTGAAGTGTGGGTGAACATAGGCTTGCATGGGTGTATACACACAGTCCTATCTTCATGTTCGTGTGTATGTAACACACCCATGTGTGCACGGTTCTGTGGGTGAACATAGGCTTGTATGGGTGTATGCAGTTATACAAACAGTGTGGGGAAGAGGCTTTACAGTAAACAAGGAGAACCCAGATTATCTGCTGCTGCGCCTCATCGTACCTGAGCTTTCTTTCTTTTCCTGTTTTGTTTTGTGATTGTTTGGGGCATGGGTACCAGTTCCTGGAACGAGTTAATACCGGGGGCAGGGGGTGCCTGCAGGGAGAGAGGCACCTTCCAGACTTCTCTGTCCTAGTCTCAAGCGAACGTCTCACGCCCCGGGAGGCAGAGCCTGTGTAGATCTCAGCGAGGAGAGCTGGAAGCGTGCACCCCGTGTGAACTTGAGTCGGGGCGCACGTAGCCTCTCCCACTCAAGGACAAGAGGCAGTCTGGGCTGCCGAGGTGCAGAGGGTTCCGATGTCCCGCAGGGCTAATGACGGCTCCTGCAGGAAATCATCTTGCCAAGTCTTGCGGGCCCTTGTGAGCGTGCTCCGACTGGATTAACGAGGAGGGGATGAAGCAGTGCACAGAGCTGCCGGAGGCCCCGTGACCCAGCCCGGCCGCTCAGGTGCTGCAGCCCACCCTGAGTTACAGGAGCGGCGTCACTCAGTGCCACCCACACACCCGGGGGCAGATTCTGGCACAGAGTTCTGCAGACAGCAGTCGTGGGGGCACATGCCCGTCAACCTCCAAGTTCAAAGTGGAAACAGCCGTTCCCGGTGGTGCTCAGTGTGTGGGCGCCGTCTGCGGCCAGGCTGTGCTGACCATCCCAGACAGAGCAGTGACATACTGCTCTCCGCGCCTTGCCCTCCTCAGCAGTCCTTGGACACCGCCAGGCCAGACAGGCCAGCGCGGGCCCACGGTGGCACAGAAACAGCCCGGAAGGGCTGGGGGGACTCAAAGAAAGAAAGCCAGGGCTGAGGGACGATTCCTGAGGCCTATCCGTCGGGGGGATTGGGAGACTCGGTTCTGGGGCTGAGACGCATGAACGCCTCCAGCGGGGACCACTGGTGGAGCCCGAAGGACCGGGATGGCAGGTATTAAACACTGTTCACGCGCGAATTTAAGAACACATACGTGCTATGGATGTAGGGAAGCAACGGAATGGATTCATGAGCAATGTGTGCCTGATCTTGCGTGTGTGTTAATGAGATACTATATTTATTTCATGTAAATATCAAAATCTGGTACGTGTCCCACGGACAGTGTCCAGTTATGAAGGTATATGCCTCTGCTATATCAGACAGATACTGGATTTGGTTCTCCACTGCACCCCCCGATCCACGTTTCATACTGTACTTGAGGACACAAGGCGCCTCGCTGGTGTGTGTGGCACACGTCTGGCCCAGGAGTGACAGACACTGTATTTGATCTCACAGGTGTGCATGCCTGGGGCAGCTGGTGCAGGGCAATGGTGAGCGCAGAGCATACGCGGGGTGTGCGGCCCACGGGGAGCGGGCCAGGCACCCTTGGGCAGCGCTGACAGCTGCCTGTGGGGGCTGCCGCCCTTGACCCTGTCTGGCAACCTGGGCCTCCCTCTGTAAGTGGCATCTCTGCTTGAAGAGAGCTCTCCGCATCTGCCCTCCTTGCGACCCACCGGTAAGTGCAGGAAGGAGGAGGGGGGCGTGCTGTGCGGAGGGCCTTGGGGTTGGGGGTCTGTGGGGGGAGGGGAGTTGGGGGGAGCAGGTGTGCCCGCCTGGATGCCTTTGGTGTGCCTGACCACTCAGTGCTGTGTCTCGCCGTTTACAGAAGGGACGGTGACTAAGACCGTTGCAGAAAGAAACTCTTTCCCTCCGTGAAAGAAAAGAATGGAATTTTGAAAGCCGATGTCAAAAGGGGCAGCCCAGTCCGTCTCGGCCGTGAGGTCCTCAGAGCCGGGGCCACAGCCACTATGCTAGGTTTTTGTTTTCTGTGAACGGCAGCCTGGCCGTTCATGAGCGAACCCTCTGCAGTGACGGGCCGCCCGCTGCCGGCATGGAGAATGACCAAAGTGGACTCTGAAAGGGAGCGCGTGCACACGGTCACCGACAACGCGCTGCGTGGGAGGAGCTTACCTGCCCTCGGTACTCCACCGGCCGCAGCCCTGCGTAGACGGGGATGAAACTGCTCGCTAGCAGGACCTGCAGGGACACACAGACAAGCGGCTGGTGAACGCAGGCCCTCACACCCTGACAACAGTCCCGCGTGCCGTGCACCACAAAATTCTACACTTTGTAAAAAACAAAGAAAACTGCTATGGCGACTACGTAAGGTCCGTATATTTCAGGTGCACAGCGGGACACCTGCAAAGACAGTGGACAAGTCAATGTTTTCCACGACTGCACTGACTTCCCCTGGGTACAATCGGCATGTTCAGGTCAAGACGAAAAGCCCAGTCAAGTCTAAATTCTTGAGTGTGGCCCGGCGTGAAAGAGGTATTCCTGGTGTTCTCACACACGCTGTCAAAACGATTTCAGGGTCTCCGTCCTGTTTTCCGGAGGGGCGAACCCCTCTGCTTGTCCCAGGAACCTGTGGCTCACGCCTGGGCTGATTTGTGCCGCCAGGACCCCGCTCCTGGAGCTACTGGTGTTCTGTGAGGGGCGGGGCCTGGAGACCGGAGGCGTCCTGGGCAGGTGGGGACGGGACTGGCTCTTTATGGTGCATTGACAAAGATGGCAAACCCTGCCGTTTCAACAGGACGATTTCTTCCTGCTGGGTTTGGGCTCCTGGAGCTTTCCCAACAGGGCACACGCCTCATTTTGCAGTGCAGCTTCTGAACGCTGCTGTTTTGACTGGGAAACTGAACATTTAAGCCAGAGTCTTTCAACAGGTAAGCGAAGACTTTGAGGCTGTTTGCTGGCGGAGTTCATGAGGGCTTTCTTTCACCTGGCACACTAGCAGATGCATGACAGCCCCAAACGGATTCGAAAATCACTTGTTCAGAATGACTGGGAACTCAGAGAGTGTTGTGAGCTATGCTCTCAAAGGGCTGTTGACTGCGAGGTGAAGCTAAAGGACAGTCGTGCTGGTGAGCCAGTCCCCACAGGAGAGGCCACCCTGACGCAGCCGGAGGCCACTGCTTTCTGCATCCCCACGTGCTGGAACTCAGTGGCCTCGGCTCCATGTCCTGGCTCCTCACGGCCAAAGCCCCGGGAGAGGAATGGGTGCACGTCTCCTCACACGCTCCTTGCTGCATCCCTCCACGGGGCGGGACTCAGCACCAGCCAGGGTCTGCCCTTCTCCGTGGGGGGATGGAGGCACCTGGTGCCCCCCACCCCACCTCCATCACGGGAGGAACGACAATGACTCCTCCACATTGCTGCTGGCGTGTGGGGTGCAAGAAGACAGGCCGGCAGTGCACACACTGTGAATTCAGTCCTGAGAGGTCAGCAAAGATCTGATGCTCTATAAATATAATGATTTATTTCTCTATGCTGCACACAGATTTGTGCCCTACTTAAAAAAAAAAAAAAATCCCTCCCCATAGCACCAGAATTAAGCGGTTTATTTTTTCCCTGTGTCCAAGTATAATGTCAGGTTCACAAGTTAATGCTTGGGGCTCTTCCGAAGCGTCTGGATGAAAATGCTGTACCACGATGCTCCTGCAGATGGTGACGGACCTTCTACGGACCTTCCAGGGCCCTTCAACCAAGCGTTACCCCTAAGCCTGTGCTGCTACCTGTCCTGCTTGTCTTCCCAGTAAACTTGTTCTCCCCAAGAAATCTCAGTACGTCTAGAGCGGGGGTTCTCAGTGGGGGTGACCGAGTCCCTTGCTCTCACCTGGGGACGCAGAGCCAGGTCAAGGCTGAGGAGGCTGATACACAGAGCAGGGACGTACCTCGCCGGCCTCCTTCCCTGGCCCAGCCCTTCAGGCATTTCCCAGATGTCAGATGGTGGGTGGGGGTTTGTTTCACTCCTACTACAGGCACAGGATAGACAGGAAAGTTAGTGACTCCCTGGGGCAACTGCGTAAGGCACGGCCAAGTGCGCCCACAATCCACAATCTGAGTGGCTGTCTCTGCTGCCCATGTTGCAGAACGGGGGCCGTTCGGAAGAGCATGTGGCCTGGCTTCCTCAGAGAATCCACTGCCACCCCGTCCTGGCTGTACCTATACTTGACTGTGGAGTTTAATGAGGATCTGGCTGCTGCTTCGGAACCTGCTGGCGTGCCTGGAACTCAAAGACAGATTCGAACGTATCTCCCCAAGCCTCCCCGAGATAATGGCCCATCTGGGACTCTGTCCTCAGCTCACCTCCCCGCAGCTCAATGGGAGATCTCGCTGCAGGAGCGTCCCATTATGTGCGTGGACACTGAGGACCTTTACCGATGGGCACAGGGCGTTTCTTCACCAGAGAGACACTGTTCTTGGTGACAGGCTGTTGGGTGTGTAGGTCCGAGAGGGTGCGTGTCTGTCCAGAGGCGACTTCAGCCCACACAGGGCACCACCTTTGAACATGGACAATCCAGTGACCTGCACCGAGCCAGACAAATGGGGGCCAGCCACCAGGTGTGCACAGCGCCTTTCAAAGTCACTGGGCTCAGTGGCGGCGGAAGCAATGTATGGCTATCTGAAACAAAGACTTGCCTTCCTGATGGCGCTCTGTTGAAGACGAATGTTAAAATGTGTTTGGGTTTCCTGATTTCATCTTTGTTTCTGGGAGAAAACAAAAAACGAATAGCCCAGAATGGAAAGTGGAACTGAAAATGGATGAGTTGATTTGTGGAACGCACCTACTTGACCGTTCGGGGCCTAATGCGTGAAGGTGCAGAAGTAAAGAAATGGGGACGGGCCCGTGGAAAGCGGGGGGCTCTGCCCGAGGCTTTGCTGCCCGAGACCCCCCAAGACTGGCACCAAGGCAGGCCACTGCTGGCTGGTCGAGTTCCGGGGTGTTGGGGTGGCCCCAGCCTCATGGCTCTGCTGGGCGTCGCTCTAGTGGGGGTCTCCACAGTGGCCCCGTGCCAGAAGGGGCTGCCCCGCAGTCTCTGAATGCCCGGGCCTTCCTTCCATCGTCCGGGACAGGAGGTCCTGCTCTGTGTAGGTGGCAGACTCACCTCCTCAGCCGTTGGCTACATGACCACAGGGCCACATTCTTCCTGTTCCGCTCTGAACGAGCTCTCTTGTTCTTTCCCAAAAGGACGGGCTGAAGAGTGTTCCAAATCTTCACATTCTGCTTCACTTTTGATGAACCATGCCATGTTTAAGCCGTTCTGCTCTTCTTGCATCTCTGCCATAAGCAGTCCAGAGAAACCAGGCCGCCCCTTCAACTCTGCTCACAAATGGCCTCGTCGGAGGTGCACTTTCAGGTCTCGCCGACGGGGCCCTTCCACAGGAGGCCAGGGCAGGAACGTGACTCAGCCGTGCTTTTGAGATTTAAAACGAGGGTGGCGCACTCTGCACGGTCTGACATGTCTTTTCGTTTCCGTCTGAGACCCCATCGGAGTGAATGGCCTTGAGCGTCCCCATTTGCACTGCTGTGACACTGAGGACCACTCAGCATTGTCCAAACAGGTGGCAGTGCTGTCCTGCTCTCCTCTCTCCCCTCCCCCACCCCAGAACCGTCGACGGCAGTGGGGGGTTTTCCCAGCAGGCGCCTCCCATGTCTCTGGGCCTCGGCCCATCGCCCACGGCCAAGGCCACTTCCACCGTTGTTTCTGACAGCAGCACGTGCTTCCCGGGACCTGCTTCCTGTCTGGGGCCGTGCAGGCTGCTGGAGTGAAGCGCCAGAGGCGGAGTGGCTTGTGAGCAGCAGATACGTGCTTCCCACCTTCCGGAGGTTGGAAGGCTAAGGTGCCGGGGTGGGCGGATTCGGGGGCTGCGGAGATCGGGGCTCTCCCCTGTTCTCATGTGGCAAAAGGGTGACAGCGCTCAGGGGTGTCTTTGAGGAGGGCCCTGACCCCATGCCTGGGGCCTTACCTTCGTGACCTCGTGGCCTCCCAGAAGCTCCCCCTCTGTATCCCGATTTCATGGCCATGGGGATTCAATGTGTGAATTTGGGAGGGGACCGACTGCCAGGCCACAGCCCTCAGTGCAGTCACTGTGGACACGAGACCCAGACGACTAGGGAATCGTAGCTGCAAGTGAAAGGGATCGCTGGACCCCATCACTAGGTCATCAGAAAACAACCAGCTATGGCTGCAGCCAACCAGCGAAAGAATACTTCTGTCATGCCTCCAAAAATGAGGTCGGTCCTTATCATGGAGAACGAACCGTCACAACAACTTTAGAAGAAGGCCAGTAGTGAAGGGGTGTCACGTCAAATGCGTCCATGTGGCCAGAGAGGGCAGCAGTCCCCATGCCGAGATCGGGCAGCTGTGTGCCCACAGGGTGGTCAGGAAGGAAGAGGAGGAGGAAGAAGAAGACAAGGGAGGAGTAAGAGAGTGACAAGGGTAAGAAGGGGCGTGTGCCCCTCGGCCTGCAGGACAGGCAGTGGGACTGGCAGACTTGCGGGGCGCGGACCCGTCACGGGTGTGGCTGATTGTCATCTGTGACTAAATATCGGCCGTGTTCCACAGGCCTGCACAGTGGTGGTGTTTGAGACACACCTACCAGGCTTGTCTCAATCCACAGTCACACCGATCAGCGTACGACGGCCACTTCACAGCTGAGAAAATGGGGGCTTTGGCATGGCACATCCCAGAGGTCACTGTCGGGCCATGATGGGCCTGGACATGAGCCCTGGGGGGACGGACAGGAAGCAGCCACCCTGGACAGCATCCAGGAGGGGCTTGCAGCACACGCACACAGACGCACTTGAAGTGACAGGATTCTGGTTGGACTTCCAGGTCCACAGACACCCTGCCCGTGATGCACGGTACGGGCAGCTGGTGAGTAATGAAGAGCCCAGCAGCGAGGAAGGGAATGGATGAGCTAATGATGGAAACACACATCAAGTGCCGCAGGGTCATTAACATCACCAGGGTTTACAGCTTGACCACGTTCCTTTACTGGCTGCCGATGGAGGCTGACCTTCTCCACATTGGCCTCAATCTTCATCAATCTCTCTCTCTCTCTCTCTCTCTATCCATCTATCTCATGTACAGACTTTCCAGAGAGTAAACCCAAGGCCGCTGCACAGGGCAGGGGTGCAGAGCCCCCGAGAGACTCAAGCTGCTCCTCGTGAGTGGCTTCTCCTCTTGGCTGTGGAGACTCAGCCTCTTGGCTCCACCCGAGGATGCGAGGGGCTGGCCAGCGGCTTTCGTCTCTCCCCACCCTGACCTGCGTGGTCAGAACCCCAGTCCTGCGGCCGCGCCACCGCAGACAAATGCTCCCGCCGGCCTGGCGTTTAGGCAGAGCCTGTGCGCTTGACGATGCCGCTGCTCAGAGGGGGGGCATTTCCTGTCCCCTCCTGCTTCCCTCCCCGCCCCCCCAGCCTGGGCTCCACCCAGTGTTATTCTTCTGAGCCAGACGCGTCAGAGGATTCTAGCATGTATGTCACGCGTGTGTGCAGCCACCATCTGCCACCGAGGAGCCGTGCTCCCTTCCTCCTCTCCGTTCTGAATAAGGCTGGAGTGCTCTGGGAAACACTGAAAAACGCTGCTTGTATACCGCGGGATCACTGCTAATTATTCAATTATCCCCCTTACAAGGTATTACACGTCAGCGTCAACTCTTTCTCTGCTGTTCAATGAACTCCAGTAATTACACCCATTCTCTGAATAGTCATTACCCCAAACAAAGGAAACCGGAGGAAATCGTGTTTACTTGTTGCGAGAGTTTGCCGGTGCTGCTGGAACTGATTGCCAGGAACTCAGAGACTTCGACGGCCGCATCCGTGACCCCGACGCCTGCAGGCCGCAACCTGGCGGGGGTCTCACCCCGGCCTCAGCAGGGCTGCAGGGCTGTGGTTCTTCCCGGGAGCTCTGGGGCCCTCTGGGCCCTTGTCACCCACACCCGGCAGCGCCCCTCCAGTGGCTGCAGGACGGAGGCCCCTGTGTCATGCTGGGGGGCAGGCAGAGTGCCCCGGAGTCCCCAGCGGCCTGTGTGCCGTCCTTCCGTGGACACTGCCATGCCTCAGGCCCAGTGAGGGGGCGTGCAATCTGGAAAACATGTCCACTGTGGAGGACCTAGCGTGGGTGCGCCCCGACTATCCAGGATCATGTCTTATCTCAGGACGTCACGTCACCTACGAAATCCCGCTGGCCATGTCTGGTGACACAGTCACAGGAGCTGGGGACGGGGGCATGGACGGCTTTGGGGACTGTCACTCAGCAGACGCGTTCTCGCATACAAGGAGTGGAGAGGAGGGTGTCCTGTCCAGCGTGCAGTGTGACCGCACAGACGGCCAGACCCTTGGAGCGCTGGCCCGGCCGGCCGCGGACCTGCTGGATGACTGTGTGCAGCTCACTGCACCTGCAGGACCCGGTTCTGGGCTCTTTGCTTTCAGTGACCCTGTAGGAGGGTGGCCACCTTGGCTGGTCTATTCGTCTGGGTGTGTGCGCTCACTGAACGTGTCCTGATGAAGCTGCCGCCGTGCCGGGGGCGGGGACACAGCAGCAGATGGCAGACGGCAGGCGGCAGGCGGCAACTCTGCCTGTGTGCCTTAGGGGAGCTTACATTTCTGTGGAGTGAGACGGGCAGTAGAAACTCAGCACACAAAGCCGCGAACTATGGACTGGGCCGAACGGTGACAAGCCCATGGGGACGGGTTCTGGGAACAGCTGTACAGAGGGTGGCTGAGCACAGGCCCAGTGGGGAGGGGCTGCCCTACTGTTAGGACCCTGGGGCCCCCGGGCCTGTTGCCAGCCACACCAGCAGCAGGGTTCCGACACACGGGGAGCCTCGTGTGCCTGGACTGGCACTGGCTGTCTGGGATCACTCAGGCGTGAGTGACCAGCCCCCTGCATAGTAGGCAAGTCCACATAAGGTTGTAATGAGGTGACAGAGACATCGTAGCTTCACCTTTGACGGCACTGCTCAGAAGCTGGCCTCGGTGGGACACCAAGTGCAAACACTCTAATCTCGTAGAGCACGAGGCAGCTTTCCTCGGCACTGCGACATTTCATCAGGTGTTTCAAGTGACATCGTGCAAACGGTGAAATCCGAGCAGCGAGATCCAGCAGTAAGAGCCGATGCATTCCTCACCCAGCTCCGGCGGAGCCTGCACCTTTCCCGCCCAAGGCACACCTTGTCCTCTGTCCAAACCCGCCTTCCCCGTGTCCCCCGCAGCCTGCTGTGAGTCCCACAGAGGGAAAAAGAAAGGAAAAGCTGCCCGTTTTTGCTAAGAAAAGCGTACCCTTCTCAGTGGACAGAAACGTCGCACCTTACCTTAGCACGCGCACGGTCATTGGCACATCGGGCCCAAGCATGTTGCAGACATAGCGAATGCTCAGCCAACCAACCAACCTTCCTGTGCATTTCCAATACAAAGGAGGGCCTCACGACCACAGGGTAGACGCCAAAGGGAACTCGGGATGGAAAAGTGGAGACCTGGGTTCCACAGCCCGTCCCCGCTGGCAATGAGGAAGACCGGGGGTCTGCCCCGTGAACCCTCTCACCCAGGTGTCTTCCGTTAAAAAGCACTGTAAGGGAAGCAGATGCCCCCGTCGCTCCTGACTCACAGAAGGGCCAGTGGAGGACCGAAGAGCACACTTCACGTTCAGAGTCTTACTTACACTGCCATGACCAGCTACGTTAAGGTAAGGAACTGAGTTACAGCTACTAAACTGCACAGGTGACCTGCCTCCCAGAATAAACGTGAGGGTGCTGAGCATTGAGAGAGAAGCGCAGAACGGATACAGGGGCCGCTGCAGCTCACCCCCGGAATCATTCACCGGGCACGCCCCATGTCAGGCGTGATAGAACATGCCACGTCTAAAGAGCGATGCTCGGTGCCCGCGAGAAGGACTTACATCGGCACCTGCCCTCACCCTGGAACAGGAAGTGCGTTACCTGAATGAGGTCCTCCCTGGAGGAGAAACTGGACACCAAGAGGTTCTTGCGGGTCCTGGTGTTGGTGATGGAGACATGCAGTCGGTGCTGGGCCAGCTCGTGGGCATCAGGAGGGAGGATCGACTCTATTCCGCTTCTGGGGAGGAACATGGGACCCACGTCACTCACCTTAGGCTACCGAATGCCTGTGAACTGGGGCTGAGCTGAGCTTGCCACGGCTTAGGAAGAGTGGGCTCCCCTCAGCACCGCCTCCACACGCTCCGCGGGGAAAAGACCGTGAAAAATACATTTACACACATACCTCAACCGGGCCATGAAATCGTAGCCAGGGGTTGCTGCTCCGAGAGACTGCCTTCGGATTTCTTCAGCCAACTGGTAGATAAATTCATTGCACTCCTAAAAAATAAAATGAATGGGTGACTCTACATTTTGGTTGAAAAGAATCCATTCTGATTGCAGAACTCTGTTCCGAGCACACGCTGCACCTGGAGACTGTAAACCCCACGCCGGCCTTCAGAAGCCAGACTCCTGCACAGGTGCACAGATGCAAACGCCCACCTGGCCTGGCCCTCGCTGCTGTTCCTGGTCCCCAGGCAAGCTATGTGTCCCCTCTAGTGCCGCCTCTGTTGCTTTTTAAATCTTCTCCAACGGCATGGCCACAGCTGGGCATCTCCCGAAGGCTGGGACTGTAGTTGAACACATCCTTCCGCAGACTTCTCCGACACGATAAACCTCCTCTCCCACCCCCATCCCGTGGCCTCGGCAACGGCTCCGGTTGTTCAGGACACCACCAGTATCAGAGGAAGGAGTCTCGATGACCGGTGACTATCCTCCACAAGCAGCGAGTGCCAGCCTTTGGGGATCAGTCTTGGGCACTGGGATTGAGTGAATGGATGTAGCAAGCAGGGCAGACTGGGACCCACGGATTCAGCTCCTGTCAACTCCTCTTCACAAAATCGCCCACCTGACAGGTAAGCAAATAGGCTTGAAGAGATTAAGTATCTTTCCTAATGTCTCATCGGGCTGTGGCCCAAAATAGGAACAGCAGCTGGACAGGAGACGGAGATGTTTGTAGGAGAAGCAAGGACCCCACAGAGGGCAAAGACCCCAGAGGCATCAGTCACGGAGCGAGGAGGCAGCTAAGTCACAAGGGGCACAGAAAGGTGGGCCCTGTCCTGAATGAGCCTGGAGCCGGGTGTGGGGGGCAGGCAGGGCGGGAGACCATCCGCCTTGAGTGTGCGCAAATTCACTGGCAGTGCCACAAGGGGGGTGGGCTGGAGGCGGGCGGACAACAGGATGTGTGCCCGCCTGTCAGGAAGCTGCTGCGGACTTCCAGGGGACAAGTGGGGCAGCCCCCAAGTAACATGCGTGCTCCTTCTAGTAAGCTAGGCAGCACTCAGCCGCTGTCTTGTATTAATTTTAGTTACACACATCCCTGCCCAGACCGGAAATTTATTAAGGAATGGACCCAGTCACCCTTGCGTCTCGCCATGGCTTGCAAATTATGAACAAGCCATGAGGGAAGGCTTGCGCACTGAGCTCTTTACCTAGCAACGCCTCGATCTGCGTAGTACCCAAAAATACACCAGCGTCAGGTGCCCCTCTCAATTATGCATGCGTACGCTCAGAACTGGATTGATTATGCCCCTCTTTGTCACAACTCCGCCAAGTGGTGGAGGAGCTCACACCACACACGCTCCGCGAGAACAGCGCCAACGGGGATGGGAGTGGGCAGAAAACAGTTGGCTTGAGAAGCCCAAAGCCATCCGGCAAGTGGTGTGTTTCAAATGGTAAAAAAAAAAATTGCCTTAAGCCAAATAGCTGAACGTTTACTGTGAAGGAGAAACGAGGAAGGCCTGGGTAAAGGGAGCGCCATTTCCACTCCCCAAGGTAAGTGGTGGTAAAGACTCACTCGTACATCGTACCGGCACAATTCGACAATGCAAACAGGCCTCCAAGGCACCGTGAAATAAAGCAGCACAGGTGATGGGATTTGAACACACACAGGTGACTCAAGGCTCAAATTCAGGTAAAGCACTGAGTGTGTGAGCATCACTCAATTTCAGGCTGTTGCTATGTCAGTATTTCCAGATCGTGTTCATCCTCAGTCGCACTGATTACATTTCTAAGCTGGCTGACACTTTGCAACAGAGCCCACCCAACTTCGAAGCTCAGGGTCTCCCCCGCCTGGGAAAGACTGCCCCACAGTGGGGGAAATGGCCCGTCGTGGCCCGTAGTAGCTTGGGAAGAAAACACAGTTGGGAAGGGAGTGCCTGCCATAGCTGGCGGCTCACACCGCCCACGAGTCTGTTTGGAAGGCGTTTGTGCCTGATTGACAGTCTCCCAGACGCCAGGTTCTCACGCTGCGTGATCTCTGGAGCCCTGACTTCTTCACTTGCCATTGAAGCCATCCTAGAGAGACTCGGTGAAAAGGCAGGCGGATTTCTGAATAATTGGCCTCAAATCCAGTTTTCCCTTTTACAAGCAGCTCAGCGTAGATTTGAAAACAAGGTTTTTAATGTGCCGCATGGGCTTTTGAAAATTTCAATGTCCCTTAAATTCATTCCTGGGCACGAATGTGTTGATCATTATTTGACAGCTGTCCAGAGTCCCTTGGGTATGGAAGGAGTTAACACATACACCCTCCTCCTAGGAAAGAAAGCCGGCTCTCAAAGTCAGCGAATGCATAATCAATGCCTAGAAGCAGAACAGAGATTTTTAAAACACAGATTGCATTCTGTGAAATATTTAATGAAGGCTCATTTTTATTACTTCTGGATAAACTGCTTGGAATTCGAGGCTTCTTCGTACTGCGAGAATGAAAAACAAATTAAATTCTAATATCATTCCACTTAATAGAAATTACAGGCCTCCACTGAATGCATAATGGGAATCGGAAGGAGCAGAGTTAGCCGCCACATGTTCGACTCCTGCAATAAGAGACCTCGGATCTGAGAAGGAAGAAATATCTTTTCTTGAAAACAGAGCTGGAATCTTAAGACTAAACAAACGTTCCAGAGTAAAATCTGGCATTCCATTTTCTGTCTCACTGTCACCCCAAATGATTGTCTTTTCCAAGGCCCCAGCCCAGATCCCCGGCGACTACATTTCAAAAGTTTTAACCTTTTGTTTCCCAGGCGAAGGCCTATTTCTCTGCAGTTAACTCCGGGTTAACGTTCGCCTTTGTTGTTCGGGCTTAATTTCCGGCGGAGGAACACGGCCTGGTGAATCTACTTAATTACCTCAATTTTTTCTGGGGCTGTTAGCAGGACAGAAGCAGCCAAGGATCCCGCCGAGGCGCCGGCGAAAGCCTTCACATTCTTCAGCAGTTTTTGGCCGTGTTTGCAAAGGGCCGATGCTGCCCCCAAGTGGTAGATGCCCAGAAACCCACAGGCTGCAAAGGACAAGTTGATGTGCTTCATTCTAGCCTGGAAACTGGCCGCCCGAGAAAAAGAGAAATGCTGTGAGTTGCTACAGTGTATGCTAATCGTCATCCCAAGCCTGTGTATTAAGAGATAATTCTTTGACCTAAACATAGCATTTTCAGGGAAAGCCTAAACTCCCAAATCTTTCAAGGAAACAACCCCCCCATCTCTCACCTTGACCCAATGTTAAAAAAAAAGTTACAACATCCCATATTTGTTCAGAAGCTTAGGCAACCTACTGAATAGATATGGATTTATTCATTAGATTATGCAATCAACTACTTAATTACTTGGCAAGAGACAGATGGATAAATTCCGATTGGCAATGCCCTTGCTATTTTTTTTCTTGACCTTTGAAAACTTTTGGCGGCCGCGCTAAGACGGTGGAAAGGTAAAATCATTAAACTGTAGCAAATCGCAAATGACTCACACATTTGGTTTTTCCAAGTGCATCGGTCAATTTCAAATGGAAGTCCCTGCTCCCTCCCTTCCCATTGCCATTTGGAGCATCCACTGTTCCTTAAAAGTAAATAAATAAAGCCCACAATTATTCAGTAACGCAATGAGCAATCATTCAATAATGTCATACAGTGCACAGCCAAATTTCCTAGGACAATCTGAGCTCGTGCCTGGCCAGGGCACTGGAGGCTCGAAGAAAGGTTATTCGTACCACGTGACACCTGGAAGAAACCTGACTATAAAACTGTTTGCTCAAGCCTCAGTGGGCAGGGATTTCCCCCCCCCACTCCCCTTGCATGAAATCGTGACCCTGCAAGGCTGCTCACTAGTCGGCCCTCAGTAGGGCTTCCTCGGGCGACCCCAGGACCCCAGTCCTAGGGTCATCATAATAGGCACCTGGCCCAAGCTTCGAATTCACGAGACTAAAACCTTTGCACACTGTCGGGGCAGAAGCTCAGCCATTGCAGCCGAGCCCGGGTTTTGGTTCAATTACAGCCGATTGAGCGAGTGGGGAAAAGGGTGCTTCATCTCCAGGCGGCCCGCCCAGGCCACGCAGGCCCAGTGTCACCCCCCCCCGCAGCCTGGGGTGGGGGACAGGACCGAGGCGCCCGCCATAACAGGGCCGGGGAGGACGGGACCGACGCTCCCGTCGCCGCCGGAGCAACCTCTAGGGGGCTGAGGCCCGCCCCTCGACAGTTCGTACCAGCGTCCCGCGCAATCGTACCCTTCCACTCTAGACGCACTTCCTGGTTGAACGCCCCAGAACCCCCGCCTTAACCGGAAGGCGTGGCCGGGCCGTCACTCAATGAGGCCCCGCCTACCAGGGCTGGACCTTGTTCTTTGTGCTTGGGGCCCGCCTACCGCGCGGATGGGAGACGCCGGGGCGCCGACGCTGGCGTCCGCGAGGCCCCGCCCACCCTACTTAAGGGACTCCAGTCATCATGGCGGCGCGCATTGGGCCGCTTGACCCCGAGGGTTCCCCGACTACGGGTAAGCGTGAAAACTCTCGTGTGAAGCTCCGAATTTTCCGGACATCCGGGAATGCATTTTGGTCCCTGTGGCGGTTTAGCGCCACCTGCGGGCCGGCCTTCAGGTGAGAATCCGTTGACCCTGAACGACCCACGCTTTCGGCGCCCCGGAAGTGCTTGTTTCTCTTCGCGGCTGCTTCCCGGAAGTGGTTCCTTCTTTTCCCCGCCCCCGGGGCGGTCCCGCCGCCTTAGAGGGCGGGATTCAGGGATTGGGTTGTGTTTCTGAGTGTCCGGCTGCTTTTTAGGGCGTGCTTGTGATTTTTGCCTAAGCTTTCCTGGAGAGGCCGGGCTGCGGCTTAGGGTAGCGTTCACGTCCTCAGTGGGCCTTGGGCGGGTGGCATGACCTTTCTGAGCTTCCCTGGTGACTCAGCTGCCAAAAGGGGTGGTAAAATCTGAATTGGGCTAGAGCTCCTGCAAGTAGCATGCCCCTCCGTACACAGCCCGGTGGCGCCGCTGGCTCTGGACAGACTCTAGATGCAGCTCTAAGTGGTGGCCAAGCCTGCCGACGCTCCCACCCCAATTCAATGGGCTCTGACCAGTAGTTTGTTTCCATAAACAATGCATGTCCTGGGTGATCCTAGTAAACAAGCGCGCAGGAGTCTCAGGCTTCGTGATGGAAGGTTCTCCGGGTCCCCTTTATAAAAGACAGACTGAGTTCTCCTGAAGCTACAGAACAGACTCTGGACAGTGCAAGGCTGTCTGTTGTTTTAAGCAACACGGGAAGGGGGGCGCTGCCCCAATACGCTTTACCTCGGGCTTTTTCTTTCTCCCCTGTTTGGGGTGCCAGGCTCCTGGCCTCTGGCCTACAGCACTGCAGGGTGGGGTGCTGCGGAAATTTTGGTTTTCGTTTCCATAAAGAGCCTCTGCCATAGCTGATCCCGAAGCCATTACGAGCTCTGTAGTAACACTAGAATTTCGTAGAGGGACGTTGACCTGCACATTCCAGAAGCCCAAAAGGATAAGCGCTTCATTCCTTCATCCCCGGAGGGGTAGGGCGTGGTCTTCCCACAGAGGAAGCCTATCACGAAGGAAGAATCCCAGGCCTCCCATCAGATCCGAAGCAGAATCGGCATTTTAAGAGCATCTCCAGGGTGTGCTATGCCCGCTGAAGTTTGCACTCTTGCTCTACCTCCTGGCAGGTGTGGTTTAAAGTGATGTGGCATCCAAAGTGTAAGGAGAAGCAAGCCTACAGAGCCCGAACGTGGCGTGTTGCGGGCAGAGGGATTTCGTCCTGCATTCGGGCCCCGGGGGAGGGATGACGGAGAAGAGGAGAGTGTGTAACTGGGCAACCTGGAGGAACACCGCCGCCGCAGTCTCCTCCGAGTAGAGGACAGACAAGTTCTCCCCTTCCCGCTGCACTTGCTGGTGAGGGAGGGCTCATTGAATTTAAGTCTCCTGTCAAAACTTCGGAGTGTTCCATAGTCTTTTTAAACTCTCCCCTTGTTTCCCCTTCTACTCCATGTATTTTCATGCCACTGATTAAAAACTTCAGCTCCCTAAGGTAAGGAAGAATGTTGAATTCATTCACATTTGTCTTCGGAATCTCGGCACCATGAACAACAATGGGAGTATAGTACATAATCAATAAATATTTATTTTGGATGTTGGATTTAAGTAAATTACCCTTGGAATGCAAGTATGCAATAATTTAATTGCCCTGTAAGAACATTTTCGCGTAATTTATTTGCCTGGTTTTGCTTGTTTATTTTCTTTAGTAATTTAGTTTTGGAGTGGTTGGTTTATGTAGCCATTGATCAAACGTTCATGCAGTGTCCATTGCCTAGCACACACTCTGCTATTACAGGCCATACAGAATTGACAAGAATCCAGTTCCTCTTCACCCGGAATGTAGTCCAGTGGGCAGGCAGATAGCAGATACCTAACGAGAGAGGCGTGTGCATGTTGCAAAGCCATGCCATTGCAAAGCCGTGCACAGCGGCTTTTGATTCGCACACTGAGCCAGAGAGGAAGAAACCTTCAGCTCTGGACGCAGCTACATCTGAGGAGCACCTGGCATCAAACCCAAGTGCCCACACCTCTCTGCCCCTTTCCCTGTCCTGGCTTCTTCCCACAAGATTTTTCCATGTGTCCCACATTGCCACACCTCAGCAGCCCCAAGGACAGGACCTTATTGCAGAATCTCTGAGTGTGGTCCTTCCAGTCTGCTCCGCAATTGGTGTAATTTTATTTCCCAACCTTGGCCTCTGAACATGTGTCCATCCTACCGTGGGATGCGCAGTCATTTCCGAGGCAACACGCTCAGCTCCCTCCCTGACCCCGCCTCTCAGAACCTTGCGTGCTGGTTCCGTGACCCGGAAACACTAGAGGCCGGGGGGGGGGGGGTGGTGGTGGAATGTGCCCCGCACACGGGGGCACGCCCCGGCTGTTTCCGCTCGGGGCGTGGAGGCGCTGTCAGCGGCGTGCCCCTGGGCCCAGTGGAGCCGCTGCCTGGCTCCGGGAGCACCGCGGAGTCCCACTGCAGTGCTCCGGTGGCACTTGCCCTCTGCACACAGAGAGAAAGAGGCTGCGCCCCTTCCTGTCTCAGCGCAAAGCACAAGCTGTTTTCCACGAAGACCACCACTTGCGGTGAGCAAAGCAGAAAATAAAGCCCATAGAGAAAGAGGGAGAAGGAGGCAGGTGAGGAGAGATGGGGGGCAGGGGAGGGTTGGGGGGGAACAGGGAGGAAGGTGGGGGGAGTCAGGCCGAGGTCCCAGGGGTGCTGGCATTTCCTGAGCCTGTGGACGAAGCTCGGAGCTTCCAGGACTCACTCCCTCACTGCACCCACCCTGTGTTCTTAAGCTCCTTAAGAGCTGAGCTTTTGCATCTTGCAGGCAAAACAGTTCTCACAAATACAGGTAAGTGCTTTTCCCATGGCTATCGGAAACAGGCTAGAAGAACTGACCGCTTCCAGCACAGGTGGCAAACACGAGGCCCACTGGGCCAAACCCGGCCCTCCCTCCACCTTGTTTTATGCGGCCCGGCGCCTTGTTTGTACCAGCAGCAGTGCCGAGCTCCTTGCCCCTAGTGAAGGAGTAGCGACTTGTATGCAGTCCTAAAATCATTTCAGCTCTCTGAGGGCAACTGTGGGGCTGATGTGGCCCCTCCTGAAAATGAGTTTGGCACCTGCTCCGGCCCACGGAGCAATCAACTGGGGCTCGACCACCTACCTAGAACAAATGAGTTGGGGGGACAAGAGGCGCGAAGAACGGCAGCAAGACAAAAGATTCTGATCAAGCTGCAAACTTTATTTTTCCGAACTGGGTATATATATAGGGGAGGGAGAGGAAGGAGATTAGGTTGCTTGCTATTGGCTAGCTTGAGACAAAGAAGGGCCCGCTTATTGATGACTTGGGTGCAACTGGTACTCGTGGACACCTCATGTGCCTGTAGCTGATTGGCTTGTGGAGCGCATGCACACCTCATGTACCTGTAGCCAATTGGCTCGTGGAGCGCACAGGTTCCTGTAATCAATGCAATGTTTTTAGCTAGAAGCCAGGTGTAAGGTTCCCAGCAGGCACCCATGACTTAAACTGGTGAGTCCTTTTTAAAGGGGGGAATGTATATACATGCACACATATACGTAACAAAACACTTTGATAATATATGAGACCCAAAATAAACATCCTTAAGAAGGGTGATTTACGACAGGTTCCATTTGAGAATATATACTCATCTATGGGTCTTCCTCACATGGGGCAGAAACTAAGTATTAAGTCATCTCTGTTCAAGAGAAACGGTTTTAAAATGTCGCATTCATTTATCAGTGTCCTTCTAATTCAACGTGGGCAAGGTTCCAGATGTAAAATACTGTGCATGGAGCTGAAACAGTGGAGGTGGTCGAGATGTTTGGTGTTGCTTATTGTGTTGAACTTGCTGAGTTACTGTGCTTGCCTTTCGTATTCTGTACCTGGAAGGCTGGAACACATACCCTTTCCAAATTTCCATACCTCCAAATACCTTCCATAAAATAAGGGGTCACATCTTCCTTGCAAGTGGACGTGCAAAATGCATCACAGACTCATACATATTTTTTAAAGCCTGAAGAAAAGACGGTCTGTGTTCTCCACCCTGTACACCTTGCTGGGAAACAGCTCTGCCCTTGACCTACACAGAGGGGCCGAAGTTGTCCTTGAAATAATTTCAAAGCTTCCCTTTCTGCCCTCGC